TGTGAAGTCAAGTGGGCCTTGGGAAGCATCACTATGAACAAAGCTAGTGGAGGTGATGGAATTCCAGTTGAGCTATTTCAAATCCCGAAAGATGATGCTGTTAAAGTGCTGCAATCAATATGCCAGCAAATTTGGAAAACTCAGCAATGGCCACAGGACTGGAAAAGGTCAGTTTTCATTCCAATCCCTAAGAAAGGCAATGCCAAAGAATGCTCGAACTACCACACAATTGCACTCATCTCACACACTAGTAATGTAATGCTCAAAATTCTCCAAGCCAGGCTTCAGCAATATGTGAACCATGAACTTCCAGATGTTCAAGCTGGTTTTAGAAAAGGCAGAGGAACCAGAAATCAAATTGCCAGCATCTGCTGGCTCATCAAAAAAGCAAGAGCATTCCAGAAAAACATCTATTTCTGCTTTATCGACTATGCCAAAGCCTTCGACTGTGTGGATCACAATAAACTGTGGAAAATTCTGAAAGAGATGGGAATACCAGACCACCTGACCTATCTCTTGAGAAACCTGTATGCAGGTCAGGAAGCAACAGTTAGAACTGGACATGGACCAACAGACTGGTTCCAAATAGGAAAAGGAATATGTCAAGGCTGTATATTGTCACCCTGCTTATTTAACTTATATGCAGAGTACATTATGAGAAACGCTGGGCTGGAAGAAGCACAAGCTGGAATCAAGATTGCTGGGAGAAATATCAATAACCTCAGATATGCAGATGATACCACCCTTATGGCAGAAAGTGAAGAAGAACTAAAGAGCCTCTTGACGAAAGTGAAAGAGGAGAGTGAAAAAGTTGGCTTAAAGCTCAACATTCAGAAAACTAAGATCATGGCATCTGGTCCCATCACTTCATGGGAAGGGCCCTCAAGGCCATGCTAAAGAATGTGAATCTTCTCCTACAGACCTTAGGGTGTAACATGATCAGACCTGTATTTCATGAGCATATTTGCTAGGGATGATCTGTTGTCCTAACCCTCCCCCTTACCCGTTTCACAAAGAAGTCCCCAGTGCCCACCACTGAGACTGCACAAGAGGCCCTCCCAGCTGGGTAGCTGCAGTGTGACCCGTTTCTGAGAGGAGGGGCAGGGCAGGGTGCAGAAGCCCACTCTTCACCACCACCACCCCTTGCCCCTACCCCAGAACATGTTCTCCAACTTTAGCTGGTCAGACTAGATTGGGTGGGGACTGGAGGGCTCAGAGGATTAGCACATCCCAGCCTTGAATGAAGCACATTCCATCATTAGCTAAACAGGGTGTGGTGTACCTTGGCCCAGCCCAGCTCCTTTCATGGAGGGGTGTGTCTATGTGTTGCAAACCTGAGTGCATGACAGGCCCATCCACAACCAGACGTTCCTAAGCAGCTATGCCCTGTTGAAGACCTCCATGTACCTCCTCTCTTAGGACTTTCTTCATGTCTCCTCACCAGGTTTTCCTTGCATTCTTCAGGTGGCTCACCAGTCCAGCACCATCTCTCCACTGGGAGGAAATGATGAGGAAAGGGGTAAGGAAGAGAAGAGATTCCATTTGGACCGGGAAGCTGCCCCTGGCCCCAGAACCAATTTCGTCTTCCGAGAGCAGGGCTTGTGCAGTTACCTTGCTGTGTTACTTGGCACAGGTGGGTCAACCTCAAAGCAAGGGACCTGTGGAACATCTGCAGAGACCCCTGGGATCATGAGGAAGTACCCCCAAACTACTATAGTCATCATTGTTTTTCTGACTGTAAAGTGAACATATATTCTTTGAAAAAGGTCTTAAAAGTTTTGAAAGTAAAGAACATTTTTAGGTTATCCATAATACCTCTCCATAGAGACATCAATAACTGACTATCTTTCCATCTTTTACTTCTGCTTATCAAAGGGAATTTTTTTAAAAGATGTAAAGGGAAAGGAAGTATATTTTCTGTATTGGGATCAAGTTATTTTTGAAGTTTTTGGTATCCTGCCTTTTAACTTTTGAATGCTTCCCTATTTTCTTAATTATTCTTGAACAATCTGATTTTAATGGCTACATAACCTCACATATGGTTGAATCGTAAAATCAGAACTTAGTGTGAGATATCACCTGGGGTCACTTTCCCACAAGAAAGAGACAGGCGTGTACTGCTTGCTGTGAGACGACGCCATCTCATGCCTTTGTGCTCCACCATCCCTTAAGACTCAGCTCAGATGTCACCACCTCGGTGAGGTCTGTGAAGCCCCAGCTCAGGCTAATGCCAATCCATGGTGCTCCTGTAGCACCATCATAACACTGACCACCTTAAACAGATGTCTGTATATTTCAATCTCTTCTAGCAGACCACAAAGTCTTGCAAAACTGGCCTGTATCTGAACAAGCTGTAAATCTCCAGTGTCCAGCTGGCACCTGGCACAAAGATATTCAATAAATGCCTTGCAGAGACGGAAAGTTTAAGCAACCCCCTGTTGCCAGACATTTAGACTGTTTTTAATTTGTAATTAGAAACATGCTCTCATATTCTTAGATTCCATGTTGACCAAGGAAGAGGGTAGAAGTAGACCCCCAAAATCTTGTTTGGGTCATTTGTAGTCACTAGAAACCTCCTGTAAATAACACTGAGATGACTTGTAAACAAGTCTTTGCCTGCATCTGACTCATTCTTATGATATGAAAGCAGAAGCTAGAATCAGACAAAGCCCAGCTGCACTGTTTGATAGTTCTGTGGCCTTGGGCCTGTTCCTTGACTTCAGTCTTCATTTTTCTCAGTATAAAATGGAGAGAATAATGGGATCTACTCTTAGGATGCTGAGATGTTGTAAATGAGATAATGCAGCTCAAGACAGTATAAGGCTTGGCACACTGTAGCTAGTTGTTGTTACTAAATGAAATTTCTGAGTCCATGTTATAGAATTAATGCCACAAGATCTGCTCTGCAGAAACATGGAGCAATTTATATACATATGTCTCTCATAGCATTATTTTGAACAAGGAGTTGAGTCCATTTTTCATCTTTGCCCAGTCAGCCTGACAAAAGTCATATGGCTCTGGTCAAACCAACTTTGAAGTTCAGCACAAGGTCATCTTTCTCCTCACAGTCTAAGAATCTAGCATCTACCCCGGACACCCTCCCCGGGGAGCAGAGAAAGGGGCTAAGAGGTATGAAGTGAGTGAAGGTCGAGGTGTTAAAGCATGAGCGGGTCAACATGGAAGTTCAGAAGCCACTTTTCCACATGCAGCTGAGTGATGAGAAACAGTATGGACTAAAGAATGGCCCCAAACAAAATTCTTCTGTCTGTTTTTACCCTCAGCCTCACCCAATGCACAGTCACGGAAAGTGAGCACAAAGGCTGCTTTGTGGTGAGCTTGCTCCAGAAGAGACCCAGAGAGATTAAGTGGCTTGCCCAAGGTCACACAAGTGACCGTCCACAAGTGCACGGCTCCACTGGTGTTTGTCCTCTCAGTCACATTCCCAGCTTCGCCAGGAGCATCAGGGTGGACACTGATAGTGGGCGAGACAGCACATACTTGCTAGGAGTTCTGAAAGCCAAAATTCACTGCCTGGGCAAAGTCAGTGTGCAAAGAGACTGAACCGTTTGGGTAGGCACCTGTTGGTGGGCCTCTATGGTCCAGTTGGGGGGGTCTCTAGAATCTTCAAGGAGGTTCCTCAACTACCTCCTCTTTCCTGCACCATATCTACCCCTCTCTCCAATTATTTTATCCCTACATATGGCTGTCCTCAAGAAACAGTCAGTTACTTGGACATCCTGTGTACTTATGAAGAAAAGAGGGGAAAGGACAAGTTTACAAAGCACCACGGCAAACCAAAAGTCATGATTGTAACAGTTTTATTCAAGTCTGTGTGTGCTCTGGTGGTGAGACCAGGCTGAGATCAGCCTTACGCTGTAATACGATAAGAGGTTTAGCCATTGAACCAAGCCTGCTTGGCATCCCTAGTTAACAATTTACAGTACCTTGAAAAAAAAAAAAAAGCCAAAGAAAAGAACCTGATAAGTTTCCTTCAGGACTTTTCTATTTTTAAATATTGTTGACAAATTATAATAACTTAAATCCCAAAGCAAAATGGGAATTCAAGGACACAAGGTCAGCACGCATGGACAGAACACTGGAGCAGGGAAGGCCTGGGAATGAAAATTAGGAGCTACACACAAAGGAACAAAACCAGCGGGGTATGTGAACTTCCACTTTACCTAGACTCAAAGGCTCTAATGGGGAGGAAAATCCCAAAGAAAGGTTTTCTGTGAGTTAAATAAAACCCAACTCCAGCTCCTTTCCTTAACCTCCCTAGAAAATACTGATACAGTCTCAGACTAAATCTGCAGGTGTGTGCGTGTGAGCATGTGTTTGAGCGTGAGAGTGTGACTGTGTGAGCAGGAGTGTGTTTGTTTAGCGGGGGTAGTGAGGAGGATTAGAGGAAGAAGTGGACGAGTTCATCACCTTCCTTCTTTGCCGCAACTGGGTAACAAGGGCATGTGATCTGATACAATAAAAAGACAAAAGCCTGATTTCAAGTTCCCAAGAGGAGCCACAATAAGGCTTCCAAACTCGAGAGGCCCAGAGGGATGTGGATTGAAGCTGCGGTAAAGAGCGGTCTGTCACGGGGCCACTGTGGGCTGGAAAGAGAAGCGGGAGCCCATAGGCCTTCAGTGGTCCTGGGAGAAGAGCTACGCGACTGACACACTCAACACCCCCGAACAATCATGAAGAGGGAGCGAAGGAGAAGGAAGAAGCAGGTGCAGAGAGGAGGTCGGCTGAGCTCCAGGGGGACGGCAAGCCCCGTCGGATGTCTCCAGTCTCAGAGGCTGGCGGTAGATGAGGCACAGGACAACTCCTCCTTGGATAGAGAACCAACTCAGAGCCTCGGCGGACCTAAGCTAGGCTGACTTTACCTCCAGAGTGTCTAAACAGTGGTCTAAAATGCACTCAAGAGAAAACAAGAGATGGCCTTGGAGCCAACAGATCAGCAACACTCCTTCCTAGCTGAGTGACCTTGGGCCTATAACCTTGGTTTAGGCCTTGGTTTCCACATTCTCAGTTGGAGGTAATATACTCCCACCGCACCCCCAGGGTAACTGAGTCAAAAAGAAAGAAAAGAAAAGAATATACACTTTCAGGACAGCACCACTCACCAGAAATATAATGGTTTCAAATAATTTATTGTTAGTCCTCATACCCAGACCAGGATGAACCCATGCCTCATTCTGACAGTGATGAAGCAAAGAGCCATAGCCAGCATGGCCTCTGGAACTGGAGGGAAAGATAAATGATGAGAGTAAAATAAAGATGACAGAGAATAATAACAGTAGTGAAAAGGATACCAATGGAGGTGACGTGATGGCTGACATTACGAAAGTCACTGAGGGCCAGGCAATAGAGAGCCTCTGGAAGGGAGTAAAAATGCCTCTGTTCATTTCTGTCCTTTCTGGAACTGGGAAAATGGTCTATTCACTTCTCTGAAGGTTCAAAGATGTCCCAGAGTTTTCAGATGGAGACTCTGAAGCATCCTTCCCACTATAATCCCTTCCCTTTACACAGGCACTCCTCTAAGCGGCCTCAGGGTTTCAGAGAGGCTGACAGGCAGCTAGGGGACATCCCCGAAAAGTCACCCCCAAGGCTGAAAACTGCCCTCAGTGTTTCACTGCTGTTAAGTCAACACATTCCTATGCAAACACTTCCAGGGTCACCACCCAACTCAGAACCTGAAAGGAAGGAAGACCAGAAAAGACCTAAGCCTACCTCACAGTTCTGCCCTCAGCATGTTCAGGTGAGGGGCAGGCAGAGCTGAGACTAGGACAAGGTGAGGCAACTCGTCCTGGATGTAAAATTTAAGGGGTCACAGAAAACCCCCAAAAACCCCTCTGCTATCCAGATGAATCACATTTCAAAGCAGTACTTTTATTCATGATAAACACAAATTCAAAACTTTTTTAAATGTCAGAATCTCTCAAAGCAAGTAGTGAGATGTGAAGGGTTTCAGGAACATGGGCAATAGGTTATTGGACTGGCCAGAAAGTTCATTTGCATTTTCCGTATTTTACAGAAAAACCCTAACTAACTTTTTGGCCAACCCAATACTTATAAAACTTGGTTTTAGACTTCAGGAAGTGTAGAGAAAGACCACTATATCCGTGGGGCCATCATCCACCAGGACTCCTCTAGATAAACCAATCTGACTTCTGGGTTCTGATGTTGGGTTTCCTGGATGTCCACCCAACACAATCCGACAGGAAAGGCCTGTCTCTGAACCTCTGGCACTGTACTCTGGTGTCCGTCCTGAGATTCCTATCTAGTTGCCAGGTTCATGCCTGCCCATCAGGCGGGTAAAACTAGATTGTGGGTGTTTGCAGGGAGGGTGGATCAGACCAGTCTGGAGGGAGACTGGGTCAGGGGAAAGGCAAGTCTGTTTCCAAAAGAAACAAAGAGAGGAGTAGACAAGCTCCTGGTTCTGCCAACAGCTGGGCCCTGAGACGCTTCTCTATTTCCGGCTGTGGTCATGAATGAAAGACCCAACGCCAGGCCATGGGCAGGAGATGCAGAGAACCACAGCCAAGAACAATCAGGAAGGACCAGTCCTACTGGCTCCAGATCACAGAGCAGCCCAACCTTCAGAACAAATCACGGCTCCCTGAGCAGCCTTGGGAGGCCAGGGTGCTGCCCTAGGGCCCAAGATCTGAAATGGACAAAGGAGGGGCTGAAGCCTGTCAACAGTGCATCAGGACAAATGGAAAATAATCTAAGTGAATGTGAGGCTTACCCAGGCCATAGGGCCAACCAGAAGCACAGGTCCAGGTCAGGCTAATTAGACACCTAACCCCTGTTAATTAGCCTTAATCAGCCAGGACTCCAGTTTCTGCCTCCTGCCCTTCCAAAGCCAGTGACTGTGGTGGTGGGTGCCAGGCAGCAAGGCCAGGGCATAGCCAGGGAATGAGGCCTCCCCAGAAGCAGTGGAGGGTTTCCCCTTCTGATGTGGAGTTTTACTCATTTGAATTCCTGATCTAAGAAAACAATGATGCGTCTGACCAAAGAGAGACATTTGGGAATCTGTTCCTCATAATAGCTGTGACTTGACAAGAAGGCATCTGAGGCCTGAAGCCAAGGAGAGAAGCAGGTGGTCTAGTCAGTCAAACCACACGAGACTGCCAATATTTGACTTTCAGATGCATACACACACACACACACATACACACACGCGCACACACACACACACACACACACACACACACACACACACAGAGTCCTCTACAAAGGGAAGCAACCCAGCCAAGGGAGGCTTATCAGTGCGGGAACAGGGACCCTGGGACTACAGACTTTTAAGCTAGAAAGGTCTCGTGCTACAGGTGGGGAAGGCAGCACACCCTGGGCTCACAGCTGGGCTCAGAGATCCAGAGAGAGGGAGATGTGTGTGACATTACACTAGTGGGTAGGTGGCTGTGATCACCAGTTTCCTGCCGCCCCTTTCCCTCACAAGGCACCATGGGCGGCTCTCCCCTGACCCCAGTCCACAGTCTCTGGCAGAGACCTCGCAAAAGCCTGGCACTCCAGAAGCGGCAGCACCTGCCCCCTCCCCGAAATTCTTTAAGAGACAGCAGTGTTTCTGACCTGCCCTGACACGCCTGAGTCAAAGAGGTGGGCTAAATGAGACATGTGTGGAAATGGTCAAGGTTCTGCATTCATAGAGGGGTCTGCCACATCGCACGGATGTACCAATCCCACAGTGTACCACTCACAGCCACCCTTTAATACCCGCGGCTCTGTACTTTGAAGAGTTAGGAATGCTCAAGAGGGGGTTCCTTCCTTCTAGGGGAGGGGGGCGGGAAGGAGTCTCTCACAGGGGGCTGTGAGCAAGAATGCTGACATGGTATCAGGCCTAGATGCTCTTGGGCTGACTTGTGTCCTGAGCAACTGTGGTCTACGGGAAAAGCAGTCTTGTGATGAAGCCCCCACCACGACATGGATCCCATGGGCCAGCAGAACCTTTCCCAAAGATTGTTTCAGGAACTGGCCTGATTCCTGCCTCCGTCAAAACACATCAGACTCTGGGAAATGACTCAAAGAAACGAGAGGCCCTAAATCATCATTTTGGTGCTGACTCCAGCTCCCTATCTCCCACTTCCTGCTCCATAAGACACTCATGGTAGGGATGATTAGCCTAACAATTTAAGTGGGGGAATTAGGAGCGATGCTTGTAAACACCAGGTGCCACATAAGTACAGGAGAAAAGCATGTGCCTGACCACGGTCCCCATTAGTCATTAGGCCAACTCCAAATCGTGCCTCTTCCAGAAGCCAGAGGAAGAAGGCAAGTCCCCTAGAGGCAGAGGTGCTGGGGACTACACCGTCAACTTCTGCAGTTTGTCCTGTTCGCTGGCCGGGAGCCACGGGCTTCTCGGACCTGCTCTGATACACGCTCTTTTGCCCTTGTAAGGGAAGCAGGTGACGGCTGCTCTTACAGGAAGGAAATCTGAGAGGGACTAAGAGACAAGTCCGAGGTCAGACAGAAAAAGCAGAACAGAGAAGACGGCCAATGCATTCAGTCTCAGAGCCGTGTGCCCAACTCAGCAATCGGTCCAAGCAGCTTACTGACGTCTCTTCACTTGGATCTTCACCTTTAAGCATTTTCCCTTCTCTACCATCAAGTATGTCAAAGGTAGAAGGCAGATAACGTACTTTCGTAAAGGTTAGGAGGAAGGGTTAGCACTATTCTGAGTCATCCAAATGTCAGGTACCATCACCATCATCATCACTATAGACTCCCCTGATACTAAAGGATGTGAAGCTAAGAGCATCCTTCAAAGCCTCTTAGACATAACATATGAGAATAACTGGGACACCTATTCAGACCCTGGCAGCGACGTGGATCCCCAAGGACAGAAGACAATCCTGTGTAGAATCACTGGAATGAACTGAAGAAGCCAGAGGGGCAAAGAGCACTATCTGTTTTCTATCACCATCTTCCATGAAGGCGCACCAGCCAAAAGCAGTGGAAAGTGTCCAAGAAAAGGGAAAAGGGGGGCAACCCAAACCTTATTCTATAGGATCCTATCCCACCCAAGCTATGCCCCAGAGAGAGAGACAGAGTGGCAGATGGGGGCCCCTCAGAGACCCACTTTGAAGGAGCTGTGACAGAAAGTCCTCCATCGTCATGGAAGCCCACAGACGCATCTTCGGAATAACCCTGCTTCTGCCTCTTGCAGGCAGAGCTCCTCCCACAGTAGAGCCCCTGCCTTCCCGTGTCATCCCCTTGGTGGATGAGGAAGAAACGGGTTCAAGCTGTCACCCAGTGGCAAGGGTTTACTCTAGACAAAATGACAAAAAGCAGAAAATGACCAAAGACTCCTTGCCTCATTCCAGAGCACTGGCCAGAGCCAGGGTGGTCTGGACTACACTGTAGGCTGCACCCACCAGAGGACCAGCGACTGGGGCCAAGGGTTTAGAGATGTGAAGGCGGCTTAGGGCCTGGGGCCATGGAGAGTCCTGGGAAAGGACACCGGCCATCTGAGAATGAAGAGCAGCCACTTGGTTGGCTGAGCTGATGGGATTCAAGCACTGTCCCCCCAACCCCAACCCCTCTAGCCAAGGAGTGGGGTCAGGGGCAAAAATCACCTCTTTCGGACTGTCTTCGCTGAACAAAGAAATGAGACGCGACAGTAGAACCCTGGGCAACAAAACCAACAGTGCCTCCCCGCCCAAAAGTAGGTGGGGCCCTTGAACCTAAGTGCCTGCCAGTGGGCTCGTAAAACAAGGAACAACTTGAAAACCAGGGTCATTCATTTTGTCATCCTCAGGGCAGGACTTCCAGCATAGTCACAGAGAGAGCAGTGACCAAATCCATCACTTGTCCCAACATCGCTGCTCTCCTGTCCTGCACCCGGGCAGCAAACGCAAGGAACCAGCAGGTGGGCCTCCAAAGTCTGCAGAGAAACAGTCCAGGATAAACGACGGGGGAGTGATGCAGAGAGTCTGGGGCCGGGACGAGTGTGAACTAAGCACTCTACTCCTGTTAAGTCGTTATCCCCACTCAAAGACAACTGTTCACACTTGCCTCAGGAGCCTCAGGGTAAGAGGAAGAGTAGAGACCGGTGTGAGAAAGCTCTAGAAGCTCAACATTCAAGTCAAGGAAATGAATTCCAGAAAAGTCAGGATTGGCTTCTGCTCCTTCCTATCCAACTCATGGTCTGCAGCCCAGCAGCAGGGGCTACCCCTGCATGGAGCCAAGAGGTCCTGGTCAGTCTCCAACACCCGGGACTTGAAGCTGAGGGTACATGAGGGGCTCACAGAGCACCTTACCGGTATCGTCCCTCACCACATCCATTCATGCAAGCAACTACTAAGGGCTCCGTTTTACTTAAGGGCATTGCAGAATGATGACGGGTGAGCGGGAAGACCCACAGCGCCAACTCCCAGTGTTTAGGACCTGCTTCTATATGCAATTCTGGTGTATGGTAGAGATACCTCCCCACCAAATATGTAACCCCAAATCCACTAATGCCAGGGACTGGAGGGCAGATCAAGGCAAAGGAAGACACATACAGATCAGAAGACAAAAGGGGCAAACACAGGAACTTTGTCTCTGGTTTCAGAACTGACACCAGAGATTGAGCCTCCCCGGGCGATTCCTGGGATGAGCGCGTGTTTGTATCCGAATCGGGTCTGACCACGTCTGGACCCCCAGGTAGGAGATGGGTGCTGTCAACACATGCTGGTTTCTGCCCTTCTTTGAGTGTTTATAAAAGGAACGAGGACAGACAGACTCTGTTACCCTCTTTACTGCAACTCAACTGTATTTCTTAACTCCCCCCTCTTCCCACTTCTCACGGAGGCAGGTCCTGTACCACTGGGAGGCTCAAATAAAGAAGTGGGGGTGCACGGAAGTGCAGCAGGTGGTCCCAGCCCCCTCAATTCCTGTGCCCAGCGTGGGGGCACTCTGCCTTCCATCCTCCAGCTGGCACCATAGGGCTTAGGACACAGAAAAGCTCACATCTCACACCAAATGGGATTCTCATTCGTGAGTATCGGGCAAGCATGTGGAAGTGGAGCAAAATCAATCAAAGACCATCCAATACTGGGTGTTTGGGAAGGCTGAGCTCAGGGCTAACAGAGGGACCCCAGGAGGGCACCCCCTGGGGGGCTGAAGAGAGGGAGCAGCAGACAGATTCGGCTGAGTGACTCTGCAGAGTCACCCTGAAGGCGTGGAGGAAGACTGTGGAGGGTGGGGGACATGCACGCACCCCTCGCTCCCCTACACAGCCAGAGCTGATGGCCACAGCCCCTCCAGCGGACCTGGGCAGAAGGGCCCTGCAGGGTGAGAAGCCCTCTGAAGGGGCCCTGCTTCCATCCCTTCCATCTTCAAAGTGCATTATCAGTGCAAGAAGTAGGGCGGGAGGCTCAGGGAGGTCCAATTCTGAGAAAGGGCTGTGCCAGCCAGCTCCCCTCCCCCTCTCCTCCCGCGTCCCCCCTTGCCCGCCCTCAATCCTTCGCGTGCTAAGACCAGAACTCTTGCTGGATCTCATAAGGGGCAGGCCTGTGTGTGTTCAGTTCGGCTCTGCACAGTGGCACAGTGCTGTCCTGACTCTGGCCCTCCGCATCCAGGTCCAGAAGCGTCCGCTCGGCGGGCGGCAGCGGCCCCGCCTGGAACGGGAGCAGGGCTGGCAGGCCCGGCCGCTCCTCCACGGTGCTGCTGCTGCTGGCCAAGCAGGAGTCCAGGTTGCTGGGCGTCTCTGTGCTGGAGCTGTTGGCCGGGGAGGCGCTACGGGCGTGGCTGGGGGACACAAACCACCAAGGGTCCAGCCGTTGCCGGTTGGCCGAAGGACGAGGCCGAGGCAGAAACTCCAGAGTCTTGGGTCTCTCCAAGGTAGAGTCCTGCTGGGTGTTCCAACGCCTTGGGGTCGGGGGAAAGACCACATTGGGGTCAGGGAGACGGGGGAATTCACCAGGGTCTCGGCTGGGGCTGGGCGTTTTCAACATTCCTGGTCCAAGAGACAAAGGGAGAGGTATCAGATGATGGACCACACTCATGGGCCATGCACTCCACTTACTCCCCGCCCCCACCCCCCCACCATGGCCCTGACCACCTGGGATAACTTGAGAAGTGAGCACCTACTATGTGTCACGCAGTGTGTTGGCAGGCACTAGGGGTGTAACAGTGAACTACAGACCATATCCAGGGCACAGACCGTGGTCCCTGTATCTTATAATAATGGGACACATGAGGTCATATCTGTAATGAAACAACTTAAGGAAATGTCTTTCATTCTCAGTTCATCCATTTAATAAACATGTGACATGAACAAGGGCTTCCCAGGTGGCGCTCATGGTAAAGAACCCGCCTGCCAATGCAGGAGACATAAGAGATGCAGGTTCAATCCCTGGGTCAGGAAGATCCCCTGGAGGAGGGCATGGCAACCCACTCTAGTATTCTTGCCTGGAGAATCCTGTGGACAGAGGAGCCTGGTGTGCTATGGTCTATACAGTTGCAGAGTCGGACATGACTTAAGTGACTTAGCATGCACGACAAGGACAAAGCAGGTATCAGAAACCTAAAGACTAGTCATCTGGGGGTCTCTTTCTCCAAAGAGGCCACCTGTCTGATTTTAACAAAAAAATCTGAGCAGAAGGGCGAGCTGAATAGTAAAGTACAGCTGTCACTCATATTCGAGTCTCACGAAAGGGTACTGCCACGCCCTCTTCTCCTATGGGATTTCAGGTGGTTTTTAAGTCAAATGGAGGTCTTCTAGGGAGCACGGGATGGGGTGGGAGTGAGAGTGTATGCTCAGTGACTCAGATGTCAGCCAGAGGAGGACAGGATGTGCAGCGGCACAGCAGTTCACCTGAACGCATGTCCACGTCTGGGAGTCAGGTGTGAGTAAGGGGTGAGCGATGCAGGGTGTGATGCCCAGCTGGAAGCCTGCCTTATGAGTGTGTCTGTACTCATCCTCTGTGCTCACACTGTAATGAGAGGCAAGAGCCTAGCTACGAGGCAGAAAATACCCTCCTGTGCGTGGCAGGATTCCTCCCTGTAATTGTAGTCTTCTCTGCAGGGAACAAACAGAGCTGGCTCCTACCCTTGATGCGACCTGCAAGCACTGTCCCATATACTCCCCAACCCAGGGCCCCAGCATCTCACAGGAGTCCCGGTCAGATTCTCTCCAGATCCTGCCTGTCTGCTTCCCCTCTTCAGAGCAGGCCCCCGTGAGGCACTGACGTTAGTCCCCTCCTGCGGCCCAGAGCAGCCTGTCTCAACTGGTTGAGTCAGAGGAGGAACTGGAGGTCGGCCTGGTATCTCCACTCCTGGGAGAGAGGCCCCAAGGCGGGAAGGAGGAAGGAGGAAGGAGGAGGAGGAGGAGGAGGGCAGTCTCACCTGCTCCAGGGCTGGGACTCAGCCCATTGCTGGAGGAGGGGCTCCTGCTGGCTGGAGGGGCAGCCGGCTTGAGAGCCCCGTCGGAAGGAGTCCGCCGGTGGGCGCTGGGCGGCACGGGGGCCGTGAGGGTGACGTGGGTGGGGGTCAGGGACTGTTTCGGGTCTCGTTTGAAGCGCTCCACTCTGACGTTGACCAGGGGATTGCGGGTGCAGGGGCTCAGGGCCGGGGCCTCCACGGGGCTGACAGGCATCTCGTACACCACGATCTCATCGCTGTCGGATCTCAGCAGGGAGCGGGTGGAGTTGCACTCGGAGATGGAGGAGAGGGACAGCAGCGTCAGCGAGGCGGAGGGGTCTCCTAGCAGCAGCACGGGCTCCTCCTTCTTGAAGAGCTTCCGGGATGGGGGGCTGGTGCTCCGGCGGGGCCGGCTGGCTCTCAGGAAGAGCCCCTCGCGCCTCTTCTTCTCCTCCCGGGCTGGTGGCTCGGGCTCCTCCGGGGGCAGCAGCTGGCACTTGCCAGCTTCCAGCAGGTCGAACCCGAGGCCCGTGGCCGCGAGGACGGCCCCGCAGCCGAGCAGAGCCACCTCGCAGCGGCGGTGGTGGGGGCCGCCCCGCTTGAGGCTGTTGGTTGGCGTCAGCTGAGGGGTACTGGTGGCCGAGTTGACCGGCGTGGGCTCCTCGTGACCGCCGTCGCCGAGGGGGCCATCCCCATCTTCCCCGCGAGGGAACGGGATACAGAGGTAGGACTGGTTGGGTGACGGCGGGAGACGACTCTCCCCACTCCGTGGGCCTTCACTGTCCTCGTCCTCTGCGAAAGGAGGGGAGTGGACGGGGAACAGAAGATGGGAACTGGGGCAGCAGGAATAAAAATCTGGTCCTTCTCCCCCACCCAGGTCCCCGGCTTAGAGCTAGGATCCAGAGGTTGAATAATCAGGGTGCAGGACCAGGAACTGATAGGACTTCACGCCTCCACACTCAACAGTGACCAACATGGGGAACTCACTCTCCATCCCAGAGCCTGTTTTCCTATTTGCAGGAAAGGGGATCTGCCAATTTGCTCCTTCTGTCATAGAAGTGCAGCATCAGTTTCCCAGAACAGGTAAATCAATTATTTTACAACTTGAAACTGAAAGGGAAAGGAGTTCAAAAGGGAGGGGATATGTACACTGGGCTTCCCTAGTAGCTCAGATGGTAAAGCATCTGTCTGAAATGCAGGACACCCGGGTTCGATCCCTGGGTCAGGAAGGCCCCCTGGAGAATGAAATGGCAATCCACTCCAGTATTCTTGCCTGGAGAATCCCATGGACAGAGGAGCCTGGTGAGCTCCATGGGGTCATAAAGAGTCAGACACCACTGAGCAACTAACAGACACAGGAACTAACAACATTGTAAAGCAACTATACTCCAATAAAAATTAATTAAGAAAAAACAACAACAAAAAAACGGGAAGGGACCTTGAATTTCTAGAATTGACAACCTACAGACTTGTCTTAAGACCCATTTCCTGCAAAGGCTTAGAATCCTCGGCATGGATGAAGGCCAGTCTACTCTATGGACTGACTTATTATGACCTTGGAATACTAGAGAGAGGAGTACTTTCTGAGAGACAGCCTGGAGAAGGCCTTACACATTTAGTAATCACAGGGCAACACTGGAGGAGCTTCCTTGGAGGAACACTGGGGTTCTATCGCCATCGCCCATCCTATGGACTCCCCACGTTAAAATACAAGGAAGCAGACCCAGGAAAGCCAAGTGCCTGATTCCATGCCTCCCCCTGCCTCACTGCCCTAAGGAGACTCTGGAGCTTCTTGGGACAGGAGGTCAAGGGCAGATTCCACGGCAGCAGTGGTGATGTGGGAAGACTCCCTGTAATGGGTGTAAAGCAGACTGAGAGGGAAGGGTGCGGGACCAAGCGTTGAGAAAAGGAAACAGCCCCATGAAGCAGTGCTAGAGGTCTTGAAAGAGTCCAAGAAGCTTGGCCAAGAGTTCCCTGAGGGATCGGGGGAGGGTTAACACAAAGGCAATGCTTACCCGTCTCCATAAGGCTGGTGAACCCTGGCAGGGCTGGACTGCTCCTCGGGCCCTTCCCCAGGTTGGGCGCACTGGACGACCACTGTTTGTATCCATCGACCAGGGACTTGAGGCTGAACGAGAGGAAAGGAGGAAACTGTCAGAACTGGTTACTCCCTTACCCTCAGCTCCGTGGGCCTCTCCCCGTCTGCTTCATTACAGCAAAGCCCAAGAGCCTCAGGGTACAGGCAACAAAGCTTACTGAGCCCACCTGCCTCATTAACAGAAGTGCACATGCTCTAGGGACAGAAAAGCGGAGGCAGGACACACCCCTTCACATGCTGCCATGGAGCTGTGGGAAGACCTCCTGGGCAGGCTGGCAAGAAAACAGAAGGAATGAGGACTGCCCGGCCCTGGCCAGGGTCTTGCCTAAGCCCAACTTAAGGGAAAGGCCAGGACGCCACAGACACTGACTATAATACAACACACCGGTGACATCAGAAAAACTGCAATGCTGAGATGTGCAGTGCAAAGGCAAGCACTGGGCAATGAGCTCACAGAGATGGGCCAGGCCACCCCACTCACACCACTTCTCAATTTCTCCTTCCAAGCCTCCGGCATGCTTAGGGAACTTCCAAAGCCATCCACGTTTCAAATACAAAAATCGACCCACAAAAGCTGCGTCAACCCAGTGCACTTTGGGACAGACCTATGTGGGTAGAACATAAGGCTGGACTCGAACCCTCGGCCTGTCTGGGAACGGAGAGGAAAAGGACAGGAGCTGGCTTTCAAATCCCTGTTATCAGCTCCCGGTGGCAAGTCAGTAATTCCAAGGACACAGACTGGGTACCCCACCAACCCTCTTACAGGACAGGGCACCAGAGGCTCTCGAGCACTGGTCTTTGTCCTAAAGAACAGTGAAGGAGGCCTGAGGAATCTGTGGACTATGATTGCCAAGGAGATACTGGGATTATAACCAGGGACAGCTCTCATTTTAGTGCTAGAGAGAGCCATTCAACTAAAGCCCACTCTTCCCAGCCCATCTCCAGGGAGGGAGAAGGACCAGCTTTTTCCCCTGCCTGCAGATCTCTGTTTCAAGTGCTATCAGAAATACCAGTGAATTAAAGTACATTCCAGACATCAGTGATTTCAACCAAAATACACAGCCAGAGAGAAACATGCTGCCAAACCCACAGCCTGAGACTTCTGACTGAAAATCTTATAAATCCCTTCCAGCTCTGGATCCAGGGAATTCAGATCAGCAGAGTCAAAGCCTGTGCTGAAGACCAAAGGATAAACAGCCATGTACTGACTCCCTAAAACGAAGGATGCTGGGAGAATCTTAACAACAGGAGTGGTCAGGGCAACGAGGAAATGTAAGTCAGACCAACACAGGAATTTTCCCAAGGTGCACGATGGTACTGCTTCCAAAAAAAAAAGTCAGCATGGCCCTGGCAATAATGAGGCTTGATTCTGCAGGGTGTGCTGTGAGGACAAGGAAACGGGGGTGGGGAGGAGGATTATTATAGTACATGTGATGAGGTGGTGAAGATCAGACTCACCCCAAGTGGAAATGTGGAGACTCTGATGGGGTACTTAAACCATTAGCTTTCTCCCGTCTCTGAGGGGATCTTCAATGAATAAAGAGAATCAGTAGCAGGCAACAGTGGATACATGCCGCTCAGCCTCTCCCACCTGAGAACCCTCAAGGCTGGGTTCCTGTTACATCGCCAGCTGCCCTCCCCTTGTTCGGTCTGCAAAGCCCACCCCATGAAGGGATCGTAGCAAGATGGCCCTGCTGGAATGGTCACAGGTCCACGACCTCACTAACTGTGGGGTAAACAGCCCAGGGGCAGCCACAGCTTAATTGGGGGGGGCTGTGAATCCATAGATAGCTGCTAATTACAGACAGCGCATATGTTTCCTACAGAAACATACTGTTTTTTTTTAAAGGATGGGGATGCAAATTCACCTAATGTTACTGATTTCAGTACAGCTTTTTGTCATTATACATTTTCTTCAGTCAACAGGAACTAACATTAGAAATAGTATCATTTGGAGGCTCTCAAAAATTCCCAACATTAAGTCTTTTCCCAAGACTGGGTGGATTTTATTTCTTCAGAGGAATTGATAATCATGAAAAATTAAAGTCACATATTTTGAACTGCTTCAAAAGTTTTGAGGGCAAAGCTATGTAAGGAGGAAGAAAATTCTAACATTAATGTTTTGTGTAATGTTGAAATGCAGTGAATTTACTGGCAAGACAAAAAATATGCTGAAATGAAACAGAACCAGAGAGACTGTTGGGATCCGTAGCCAACCTGGTAAAGCCTACCTGGAATCACACTAATGTCATAAATACCAAGGGACTCAGGGTGACTGCATTCCTCAGACCCAGCTCAACCCCACTCCAGCCAAGGCTCAAGGGACAGACTGAGGAGTGCTTGCACTTGCAGAACTTAGTACAGCAGAGCAACCAGGGGACTCCATCACTGATTTCTTACACTGTAGCTTAGGGAGGCCTGCCCTACATATCTAAATTTTCTGTTCCAAAGTAACTAGTGATTTCCAAAGCCTGGCTTTAAAGAGTCCATCCTTCATGAACCAAAACTTATTTTCACCTTCTAACATAGCGAAATAGATTTTGAATATGAAATCTTAGTATTCAGAGAAATACCAAGGCCAAGGCTAGTTACAGGTTGAGGGCACCTTTAAGTCTAATAGTCAACCTTAGAAGCTATCTGGAAAGCCACTAAAAAGGATGAAGAGGGCTGCTGCTTATCCTCACACTTGGAAAAGTCAAGAAATATGGTTCTAGATTCTAACACAAGAATAAGAAGTATACCCCATCACGTGCATTCTTCAAGTATGAAGCAGAATTGCATGAGAAGCAATGGAAGAATCATCAGAGCAAGTATTTACGTAAGTTTATTTACATTAAGTTTACTATGAGCTAGCCCACCTTTTAAGGGACTTCCCAAAGATAAGCTTACTCAGGGTCAACTCCTTGAGATGGGTATGGAGAGAATCCCCATTTGACAGATGAGGATACATTAGACCCCACTGCTGGGTGTAAAGGAGTCGGGATTCACACCCAGGCAGCCTGGAGTCAGCATTCATGCGCTTCATTACCAGACTACAATCAGCTGGTCTATGAAAGACCAGGACCCGTGGGCCACAAACCCACAGTGAAAACACGAGCACATCCAAGGCAGCAGGGCCTGCTGTGTGCTTTGTCCAGAGGGGTCTCACACACATCAGCATGGCTATGGGGTGGTCTCATACAGAAGGGCTAGTGGCCCTGGAGTGACCTCCGCCTGCACTTCCAGGGCCAGGTAGCTCTGCCTGCCTCTGGTTCAGGACAAGCCTCCGTTCAAGAGCCCTGTCATCCCCTTTCCTTGTCTCTCCTCTGGGCAGATGCTTCAAGGACAAGAGCCAGGTGTAAGTAAAACACTCAGGCAGAACTCCTTGCAAGTGGCAAATGCTTGGGCTACTTGCTACTCTGAACAGGATGCTCCAGGGGCTGGCAAACTAACTCATGAGCTACATCCTGCCCATCACTTGTTTTTGTTCAGTTTTACTGGAATGCAACCACACTCATTCACTCGCATATTGTCCATGGTCTGTGGCTGCTTCTGCATTACCACCACGTGGTAATGGTGGTTACTACCATTACTGGTGGTTACTGCGCAGTTACTATGGAGACCACATGGCCCACAAAGCATAAAATACTTCCTACCGGGCCCTTTATGAAAAAAAACTGTGCCAGCTCCTGAACTAGAAGGTTTCAGGGAACAAGGCGATTGGAAAACCTTGTAAAGATCAAGAGGCATATAATTTTTTTGAACAAGGTGAAACACACAACAGAGAAAAAGGTATTTCACGCCGCATTCTTAAAGGATTTCCCATCATTTGGCTCTTACCCTTCGTCTCCTGAGGCAAACTCCTTCTGACCAAGTGTACTTGGCCCCCATGTCCGCCCCTTCTTCTTGGAGGCCCTCTTCTCCTCCTCTTCCCCCTCCTCCTTGGGGACCACAGAACTCCGGCCCCAGGTTTTGCTGCTTTCGCCTGGTGTCACTGTGAATAATAAAGGTCAACTGGGATTAGGAAAAGAGAGAGGTGTCCCCCTAAACTAGCCTCTCCCCAACCAGACATACACACTCGCGTAACTGGAGCTGCAGGTGTGGGGGAGTCAGACTTTGTGAATAACTCTTTCCCAGCCACCATTCGCCCTGTGCCCTCAGAACGCCAAACGTAGGAAAACCACCCAGATTCTTCCGAATCCAGTGTAAGGTGGACACTCTGGCCAGCCAGTCACCAGAGCTCCAAACAGACCTGACTTAGGGAACGTGTTTTATTGGGGGTGGGTGGGTGGGAATTGGCCTGGGGGATGATATGGAGGAGGGGGGTGGTGAGAAAGTAGGTGGGAGAGATAAGGAGTAACGATGATGTAGAAGTGAAGATATTTTGGTAAGAAAGTGCTGGAAAGCAAGGAAGTGAGTTCAACACTATGGAGAGGGAAGTTAGGGAATGGGAGCAACAGGCCTGGAGAAATATAACACAGAGGGGAGGAGGAACCTTCTCCTGACCCTGACACCTTAGAGCAAGGGCTGAAACCCAAATTCTTCAGAGACTGGCCTTTTATCATCAATGAATGGAAGGAGTGTATTAGTTGCTCAGTTTTCTTCGACTCCAGAACCCCATGGACTGTAGCCCACCAGGTTCCTCTGTCCATAGAATTCTCCAGGCAAGAGTACTGGAGTGGATAGCTGTTCCCTTCCCCAGGGGAGAGTGGAGGGAGCCAGTTACCAAAAAACAAAGAGTTAATGGGACTGAGGCAAAATACAGAGCACAGGAAGAAAAGAATCCACTGATTTGACTTGATTTTTCAAGGAAAGCCAAAAATTCAGGTCCTGGGGATGGGGTGGGGGGTTGGTTTGGGGATGAAATCTCTCTATCTTTAAATTAGGGCATATGCCCCTTCAACCTCTCCCTTCCACACACTAGGAATATATGGATATATGCTTGTGTATGCATAAGTTCTTTTTAATAAACACCACCATAAAATAAAATGGGCTCAGATTTGGCCTATTATAAAGTATTTGGCAGGTTTACCTTGGAACCTACACTTTGACAAAGCCCCTTCCTAGGAAGCATGGACAAAAGAAACACCATGATGCCCCAAATATGGCAGAGGTCCCAAGTCCTAAATATACCAGATCCGAAGTCCAGGATACCTTCATAACATCCCAAATTACTCAGTAATTCACTAAAGATCCCGCCAACACCCACAAACCCCTCTGCAGGTACCTGGCTAATAGTGAAAGGTAGAGGAGGCAGGGTCAAGTTCATGGAGAGATGAGGTAATGGGGGTAAGGGCCTGCATATATACGGGAGTGCAAGCGTGCTACGTTGCTTCAGTCATGTCTGAGTCTTTACAACACTATGGACTGTAGCCCATCAGGCTCCTCTGTCCATGGGGTTTTCCAGGCAAGAATACTGGAGTGGGTTGCCACGCCCTTCTCCAGGAGATCTTCCCAACCCAGGGACTGAACCTGCATCTCTGAGGTCTCCTGCATTGGCAGGCGGGTTCTTTACCACTAGCGTCACCTAGGAAGCTCTCACACATGTGCATGTGTACACATATTGTCCAGGAGAGGTGGCAGAGTTATGACGGAGCCAGCCTGATCAGTCTGTGGCTGGACAGAGCAGGGGACAGGTGCCCTGGTGTGTTCTGGCCCCAGCTAATTTGGGAAACAGGCTTACACTGGATGGCACGAAGGCGAGGGATGATGGTGGGGCTCGCAGGAGGACTAGACCGGCTGTTGATCAGACTCTTCCTTTTATCCATGGTGGGCGAGGCCTGTACCGTGAACTTGTGCTGGAAATCTGCTTGGGGGAAGACAAACATATGTGTGTGTTAGAATTTTCCCATCATCAAATTCTTATGAACTACAGGGATATACGGGCTCCCCTGGTGGCTCAGTGGTAGAGAATCTGCCTGCCAATGCAGGAAGCTCAAGGTTCGATCTCTGGGTTGCGAAGATCCCCTGGAGAAGGAAGTGGCCACCCACTCCAGTATTCTTGCCTAGGCAATCCCATGGACAGAGGAGCCTGGTGGGCTACAGTCCAAGGGGTCACAAAGGAGCTGGACACTAGCAACTAGACAACAGGGATATGTGGTCAAAACAAGAAATACAGCCAATATTTTATAGCAACTATAAATGGAATATAACCTTTAAAAATGGTGAGTCATTATGTGTGCACCTGAAACTTGTATAATATTTTACATCAACTCTACTTCAATTTAAAAAAATTCCTATGAGAGAACTGACACTTGCTGGCAGCCTTGAGGGATGGGCACTATGTCCTGCGGAGCTCCTTTTCAACTGGGAAATGTTCTCTTTTAGAATCATTTCTTTTTCCCATTGGGATGTGGCGGTTGGATGTATATAGAGACAGAAGCTTCATTACCCAAGTGAACTTCATTAGACTGTTTTCGTAAAGCTGTCTATATAATGTACACAGACGTAGCAAGTACCTACTTGGAATAAATTTTTTAAATATCATGACACCTTGTCGATTATTCTGTGTATGTGTCACTTGGTTGTGTTTGACTCTTTGCGACCCTTTGGACTGTAGCCGGCCAAGTTCCTCTGTCCATGGGATTTTTCAGGTAAGAATGGGTTGCCATTTCCTTTTCAGGGGACCTTCCCGACCCAGGGATAGAACCCGCATCTCCTGTGTCTCCTGAGTGGCATGTGGCTTCTTTACCCACTGAGTCATTGGGGAAGCCCAGTTGATTATTCTAGGAAATCTAACATAAAATACATCAACTACTGTGTTTCATATAATCTATTAGTACACATCTCCTTTACTCAGGGACCAAGCAGGGAGACCAATGCTTCTCATTAAGTGCAGGGTAACATGGAACCTGAGAAAGTGAGGGAGATGCAGTTAATGGTCCAAATTCCAGTCTATTCCAAAAGTTTATATCAGAGCATGAGGAATGTAAAATGTACATTCTCTGAGTTTCTGGGCTTCATTCTCCCCATCTATCGAAGGGCTTATAAGATCTGCCTGTTGGCACCTAGGTTTCCCCTCTAGACGGTGATTTCCTTGGAGGTGGGCTCCATGGCTTTTCTATCTGCTTTCTTAGCACACATCAAGATGCTGGCACATGTTGCTCCAGAGATGCTTAAAGACTCTGTGTTGCCTGAAAAAAAAATGTGTAGCAACACTCACTGAATTTCACTAAATGGATTCTCGTCTATACCTAAGCCACCATCCTAGTGCTTAAACTCATCTACTACTGCTCCCATTTTACTATTTTCCCTTGATTCCTTAACACTTCTAATAGGCCTGCTTCCTGGGGACTGACAGGCTCAGAATACAATGAACTTTTTTATCTACATAAACACACACTTGAATACTTAACTCCCTCCGTGGGTACGTAAACTCCAGAGACTCTAATTCATAGTTTCTTATTTCTTTGCATTTTCCCAAGGTGGTACCTACTGCAAATGTACCTTTGCTCAAATAATGTTTTTCTGAAAGGTTATGTGTAAATCAAATTCTTAAACATTCATCCTAATCTCAACTGCACACAGAGAACTACTTATTATGGAAACCCTGAGTTATTCTGCAGAGCCAGGAGTCTTCTTATCTCATAGGCACATACACACACTCACCCTGGGATACTTTTACCCCAATGACATCTTCATTCTCCAGGTTTTCCTATGGTAAGAATTGCCTGTAGGCACGGCCATGCTTTCTAGCAGACCGAACCATGCCTGCCTGTCGGGCTGGCCCCAGTCATGGCCTTGCCTTCCAGTTCTATGTGCAGTCACACTCCAAAATCCCCCTTGGAAGGTTGGAGCTTCTCAGCAGGCCAGGCTTTCCCTGGAATAGAACCTGGGGTCTCCAACCAGCTCCATAAGGAACCCGGGGTCTCACGTTTCTGAGCCCAGTCCCTGGTTCCCACAGACCCCCTGCCACATGAGCCCCACGGCCCACTCGCACTTCTCCCAGCTCATGCATGCTCAGTTGCTTCAGTCGTGTCCGACTCTTTGTGACCCCATGGACTGTAGCAGGCCAGGCTCCTCTGTCTATGAGGATTCTCCAGGCGAGAATACTGGAATGGGTTGCCATGCCCTCCTCCAAGGGATCTTCCTGACCCAGGGATTGAACCCGCTGGTCTTACGTCTCCTGCATTGGCAGGCGGGTTCTTTACCACTAGCGCCACCTGGGAAGCCCTCCCCCAGGCCCCTGGGCACCAACCAGAAGGGAGGCTGATGCGATTTCCGTCCTTGAGCTTCAGCCGGCTCTTCCTGAACTTGCCCTTGCGCTTCTTAACCCGGGGCTTCTCCTGGCACAACTGGTGGATGATGATGTTGAGCTCTCGTTCCAGAATGTCGATCTCCCGCTCGGCCAGCTCCTGCTCCCGGCGCCGCAGCAGCTCCTCCTGGTTCTTCTGCTGGAGCGCGGCCCGCGTCAGCTCCTCCTCCCAGGTACGCAGCTCCTGCCAGGCAGGTAGAACCATTAGAGAGAAGGGGGCACCCCCCTGGGGCAGGGGGGCTCACCCCTGGGGGAGCAGTGCTCATGGCAACCTGGACAGCTCTCCTCTAATGCCCCACACTTCACTCTCTGGAGGAGATGGGGGTGCTGGATAGCTAGTTGGCAAACGAACACCTGACCACCCCAAATGGTCAGGGAAGGCAGGCTCAGAAGAGACATCCTGAGTACACAGCTAGGGTAGCCACAGGCCAAGCCCTGCAGAAGGGGGCTCAGAGTTCCTAGTGCTGGAGAAGACCCTTGAGAGTCCCTTGGACTGCAAGGAGATCAAACCAGTCAATCCTAAAGGAGATCAACCCTGAATAGTCATTGAAAGGACTGATGCTGACGCTGAAGCTCCAATACTTTGGCCACCTGATGCGAAGAGCCAACTCACTGGAAAAGACCCTGTTGCTGGGAAAGACTGAAGGCAGGAGGAGAAGGGGGTGATAGAGGATGAGATGGTTGGATGGCATCACTGACTCAATGGACATGAGTCTGAGCAAGCTTCAAGAGATAGTGAAGGAGAGGGAAGCCTGGCGTGCTGCATCCATGGGGTCACAATGAGTTGGACACAACTTATGGACTGAATAACAACACCTTGACTGATTGATTAAAATTATCTGTGACCAGGAAAAAACAATCATGTACTTAACTTTCATAGTCTCAGTTCTATTTTGATTTTTTTTTTCTGTTACATAAAGGAAATTTTTTAAAAACCAGAGCCAACTTAAGGTAATCTAACTTAAAAATGAGCCTGCTGTAAATGAGTCACATTCCAGGCATCATCTAACATGCAAATAGAAACAAACACATTCCCAGGGTGGCTGTTCAAAAGGTTCTTGAGGCATGTCATCTAAATCTTGGTTCACCTGGTGAATGAATCCACTGAGGCATGTGGTTGAAACTTTCATCTTATCTTAAAGGGCAAACATTTGCTCTAGAGGGACAGAGACAGCCCAGCAAAGAGAAGCAAGAACATTTCCTGAAGTCTTTGCCAGGCACTTGCTCTAGAAACAATACCACACTGGGTGGGCAGAACCTCTTCCTTGCCTTCCCTTTGTCCTGTGTGAATTTATAAACGAACTCAGCATGGAGTTCCTAGGAAGAGGTGGGAGCTTACAGCATCAGGAAATAGGAGAGAACCCAGGAAAGAGAATAAAGCATCTATAAACAATTTTAAAAATCTGGATTCTAAACTATTAACACTGGTTACTGTAGGCCCATGATGAAGTGAAAAAAAGCTATGGCTCAGCTGGTATGGAACCCCACCTGCCAATGCAGGAGACACAAGAGATGCGGGTTCAATTCCTGGGTTGGGAAGATCTCTTGGAGAAGGGATGGCAACTCACTCCAGTATTCTTGCCTGGAGAATTTCACAGACAGAGGAGTCTGGTGGGTTACAGTCCACGGGGATGCAAAGAGTCAGAGATGACTGAGTGACTAACACTTTTACTTTCAGTATTGAAATGGGGTGGGAGCAGAGGGTTAAAATTTCAGAAGCTTTCATGTCAAAAACCTGAGAGAACCAGGTCTAAAAAGGGGGGAGTTTTTTTTTGTTTTTCCAATAAAGCAGCCAGACCAACACTTCTGTGATTGGAACTTAAAATTCCCAATGAAATGCTCCACTCTAAGAAGTCATTCTGCTCTAGAAAAAAATATAGAAATGGAACCCAGGGCTAGAAAAAAAAGTATGTGAACACATACTGGGGAAGCAGAGCAGCAGGCAGAGAGCAGAAGACAGAACAGAGGAAAAATGGGAATAAAATATTCTGATGAAAGGAGTGTTTCATTCAACTTGCCTTCTGTCACAAGAATACCTGCTAATGGCCACTGAAGTGATAGAAAGAATAGAAATGAAAAGAAGATGAGCACTTTGAAGGTTGGATGGTACAGGGTATATTCTCAGTAGTTGCTGATTAACTGTTGATTCAATGAATGAACGAAAGAAATGAGGAGAGGAGAAGACAGTGTTATAAACACAACCCTTCTTTATGGTAATATGGATTCATCACAAGTGCCTGAGAAATGAGCTTGAACTTCTGAATTTCTTCTCTGATGAATAGATTGATTGCTGTGTGCCCTCCAAATCCTTGGCTTTCTTGTTCGCCTGCTTTGTTTTCACCAACAGAACAAAAACGTGTAGAAGATTCAGAAAAATTATTCCTGGTTGGTTCTTTTGCTGCTAAATTGGAAAGCTAAAACTAGTTCAAGCTACTCTCAGCCTTCCTAAGTCCTCTCTCCTACATGCTTTTGTCTAAGGAAAGGCTTGGGTCTAAACTCCTTCCTTTAAGGGAATTCGAACCCCAGCCCAGAAACCAATCCATCCTCACATACAAGGAAGCAGCAGGTTGAGCTAACCTGAAGAGTGAATTATGTGGGAAACCAGGGCATTCATGGAGTACTGGCCTATGGCACCATATGCCTGGAACCCTTCCAACATGGTAAATCCCCTTCTTGTGAAACACCTATTTGGGCATCAACTCCATAGTATGTAAATCACATCTTTCACATATAATGATTTAAGAGGAATCTCTCCAGAGAGAAAGCTCATCATCTATCTTTACCCTCACTTGCTGAACCCCAGGCCTTATAATGGAGAGGCATCCATGTTCAAGGCTAGGACTCTGAAACACAGTGGTTGAATCTGTGGCCTTGGGAAAGTTAAAATGGGCATCACATATAATATGGAGGTAACAGAACCAACATCACAGGGTTGTATTACCTAAAACAATAACTAGCTTTTTATGCAAGATGATGTAAGAATTCATACAAATTACTTAGAGCATGGCATAGAGCACATGCTCTACACGTGTTAGCTATTATGAGAACTGGTTTGACTTTTCCTAGTATCTACTTTCTGACAAAATCCAACTTTCATTTTTCTTACCAGTTGGTACCCTCATAATGTCATCAATCAAAAGAAATAATCAGAGAAATATATTCAATATACTGTGATAAACCATAGTGGAAAAAATATGAAAAAGAATATAAACATACATATACATACACACACATGTATACTTGCATCACTTTGCTTTACAGCAGAAACAAACACAACACTGTAATTCAATTTGTTTTTGTAGTTCAGTCACTAAGTTGTTATCTGATTCTTTTGTGACCCCATGGACTCTAGCCTGCCAGGCTCCTCTGTCCATGAAATTCTCCAGGCAAGAAAACTCGAGTGGGTTGCCAGTCCCTGCTCCAGGGGATCTGCCCAACCCAGGGATTGAACCTGAGTCTCCTGTATTGGCAGGTGGATTCTTTACCACTGAGCCACCAGGACAGCCCATAATTCAACTATACTTCAATAAAAAATAAATTAAAAAAAAACAACAACCCCGGAGTTAGTGATTCAAAAAAGGTCAGGAGCTCTGGGGTTCTTCTAGTTGGAATATAATTAGTAATTGGAACAGTCTCTCTTAATCATTCTGCTCAACGGTTAGTGCGGATCCACCCCCTCTCCCAGCTAAAGAAGTGTCACAAGCTCATTGCATCCCCCTACAGAATACTCCTTGAGTTGCCAAACAGTACGCTGGTGGCTCAGTGGTAAAGAATCCACCTGCCAATGCAGGAGACATGGGTTTGATCCCTGATCTGCAAAGACACCCTGGAGAAGAAAATAGCAACCCACTCCAGTATTCTTGCCTGGGAAATTCCACAGACAGAATTAGAGGAGCCTGGTGGGCTACAGTCCCTGGGGCCACAGAGTCAGACACGACTAAACACAGAGTCAGACACGACTAAACAACAAAACCGGGCTTAGGATTGCTACGTTGCATCAAAACATTTACATCTTCAGATCCGCTCCGGAAATGATTTTTAAGTTATTTGTTTAGGGAACAATGATGATATTGGAAAGAAGATGGTTTTGGAACCAGAAGGCCCTGGTTCAAGATTCTGCCTCCTCACTTACTAGTTGTGTGACTTTAGATAGATACTGATCTTCAGCTCTGAGATGCAAAAATTAATAACACCTGCCCTACATGCTGCAGCAGGGGCCATAAGACTCCTGGATAAAACGGATGAAAAGGTCTCTTCAGACCTTGCAAGTGAAAGAACTGGGAAGCCATGAAGACAATTTTAGACACTACTATTATATTGCTTTCTGAATTTCCACAGTGGGGGGTGAGAATGGAAAGAAGAAATTAACCAAGTCTACCCATGGACATCCCTCATGCCCCGAGCTGCAGGTCCTGAGGAACAAGCAACATAACTGCTTTGATTTGGATTAGCTTCCTCTGTGTGGACCCTGACTGTTAGCTAGACACTACGGCATAAAAAGGGGCCATTCAGAGAACGGTCACCAAAACAAAAAGGCAGATCTCTAATGGGCTATGAGTCTCTGAACTCCTCAGTTGGTTCAGCCTTTGAGCCCCTTCCATAAAAACATGAAACATGCCAAATAACTTGAGACTCATGGTATTTTTAGCCCATGTGCTGTTTCTGATCCTGATCCCCAAAGACACTGGCAGGATGTTCTGATAACTGTTCTCAGTGTTCAAGTATCCCTATATCCTGTTAACCCCATTTGACGAGTCCATTACAGAAACAAGGCACCTTTCTAGAACCTTCTTGTAATATGTCCAGCCGCCAGAGTGAGACATCCTGTTGGTACTTGCCCAGTGGTGCTCCTCCTCCAGTTTCGACAGTGAAGTAGATACTCTGCAAGGAGAGCTTTGGGCTCATGACTTCCCTTACTTATTCCTGCATGTGCATGCTCGGTCAGTTGCTTCAGTTGTGTCCAACTCTTTGTGACCCTATGGACTGTAGCCCACCAGGCTCCTCTGTCCATGGGATTCTCCAGGCAAGAATACTGGAGTGGGTTGCCATGCCCTCCTCCACTTATTCCTACCACATCCCCAAAAGAGAGAAAAACTCTCTTATCATTTCAGGTCACACCTGAGGCCTGGAGAACACTCCACATGAAGCCAGGAAGGAAAAAGCTGCTTTGATATCACAAACCAAGCAGGAAGGTGGCCGCATCACAGTCTTGCTCAGAGGCCCCAGTGGAGAAGGTCCACTGAGTCAATGCATACCTTCTGCTTCTCTTTCTTACCTTTTCTTTGGCCCTGAGTTGGTCAAACATCTCCTGAATCTCGTGTTTCCAGTCATCCTGCAGGCAGTGGAAGGAGTCCTTGGGCATTTCAAAGAAACCAGACTCCTCTATGGTAGTTAGCTGGTCCAGGATATTCGTGAAAGATGGGCGTGAATGGGGGTCAGGATTCCAGCAATCTGCATGGATTACATGAGTCAGGAGGCATGAACGGACAGAGGCAGACGGAAGACTTAGGATGTCACGTGATCTCATCTGACAGAAAACCACCTCTCATTTCTTCTTCCAGAAATAGAGAAACTGGCATTGAGGGAACCCCCAACAGGGCTCAGGAGGTAAAGCAAGCTGCCCAGCATCACAGTCATCAGTGAAACTGGAAACCCAACACAGCAACTCTGCACCCACTCTGTTCTATTCATTTAGCAGAAGAGAGGCAAGTCCAAAGAGTTTTCTTGCATGAAGTACAACTGCCACAGTTTACCAAGTTAGTATAATACATGATTCCAGGCAAGACAATGGGTAGGTACACCTTGGGCCTCGATTTCCCATCAGTCAATGAGCTATACCCTTCCCCTCCTCGATGTGCTGATGAGATGAAAAGTACAAGGGGGCCCAGAAAAAGTGAATTCTATCTTCTCGCAGCTCAGTCCCTAACTAATGGAGTGGCCACCTATCCATTTAACCTCTCTCAGCTTACGGTTTCTCACTGATAAAAATCACAGGGCCTAACTAGATGACTTTTAGAATTCCTCTCTTCTTAGATCTTCTTCGTTTCTACACATACGACACTCAGAGGTCTTGAAATAAAAGCTACTATTCTTTCTTATTTTGCATTAACTAATATACTGAAGCGCTGGATAGTAGCCCTTAGTTTCTAAGTTAAGTTGTATAGTCACTGGATGGACAGAAGGGACGTGGGTGACACCAGAGCAGCAGGGTGCTGATATCATCTTGAGCTAACTCTTGTAACCGTCTTTAGGATTCCTCTCTAAGTGACTCCTACTTCACCTCCTCTTCCACTTACTGGTCATGCGGAACCGGCCACAGTCTCTCCACTGCTGACAGAAAGGTAAAACAGTCTCCAGTTTTGTTCCAGCCAGGGGTCACTCACCTTCCATGAGTTTGGCAAAAGGTTCCGGGCATGTAGAAGGAATGGGAAGGGCCAGCTTGTTCATGGCCACTCCATAAGCGACTGCTAAGCCATCAATTCCCCGGAAGGGCACCTCACCAGTCAGGAGCTCCCAGAGCAGCACCCCATAGCTGGGGAGAGGAAGACAGAAGTCACACAAATGAACCACGGCTGTAACTTCACTGAAATACCTCATGAGGCTTTGATGAGCATCCCACATCTTCTCCAACATGTAGGGAGACTAACAGAACAGACATACTGCCATAATATAAAAGGGAGGCCATAAGCCCTACTGGCTATAAGCAAAAACTCTGGAGTCAAGCACACTTGGTTTCAAAGTCTTCTTCTTTAAATTCCTCATCTGTGAAGTGCGAATAACATGAGCAGTTGGACAAGGCTATCATGAAATGAATGGTCTATTGTTTAAATCACTGCTCAAGGGCCACAGCTATTCTGTGGTTGCTATTGTGAATGTAATAAACTGGACGAAGAGGAAGGCTCCCAGGAATATATTTTTTTCTGCTTTAAGAAAACTTCAAAAAAAAAAAAAAAAAGAAAAGAAAACTTCAGCTTTAGCCACAGATATATTATTTTCTTTTAAATTTTATTTAAGTATAGTTGATTTACAATGTTGTTTTTAATTCCTACTGTATAGCAAAGTGATTCAGTTCATTCAGCTCAGTCGCTCAGTAATGTCCAACTCTTTGTGACCCCATGGACTGCAGCACGCTAGGCTTCCCTGCCCATCACCAACTCCTGGAGTTTACTCAAACTCACATCCATTGAGTCGGTGATACCATCCAACCGTCTCATCCTCTGTCATCCCCTTCTCCACCTGCCCTCAATCTTTCCCAGCATCAGGGTCTTTTCAAATGAGTCAGCTCTTCACATCAGGTGGCCAAAGTATTGGAGTTTCAGCTTCAACATCAGTCCTTCCAATGAACACCCAGGACTGATCTCCTTTAGGATGGACTGGTTGGATCTCCTTGCAGTCCAAGGGACTCTCAAGAGTCTTCTCCAACACCACAGTTCAAAAGCATCAATTCTTCGGCGCTCAGCTTTCTTTATAGTCCAACTCTCACATCCATACATGACCACTGGAAAAACCATAGCCTTGACTAGACGGCCTTTTGTTGGCAAAGTATTTGCTTTTTAATAATATATATATATATATTATATACATATATATAATAATACACACACACACACACACTCCACACATCTATCCTTTTTCATATTCGTTTCCATTATGGAATATCACAGGATATTGAATATAGTTTCCTGTGCTATACAGTGAGTGTGTGTGCTCACTTGCTAAGTCATGTCCAACTTGACCTCATGGACTGCAGCCCACCAGGCTCCTCTGTCCATGGGATTTTCCAGGCAAGAATACTGGAGTGGGTTGCCATTTCCTCTCCAGGGGATCTTTCCAACCCAGGGATGGAATCCACGTCTCTTGCACTGGCAGGCAGATTCTACAATGCTGAGTCACTTGGAAGCCCATGCTGTGCGGCAGGCCCTTACTGCTTACCCAGCCTATATATAATGGTTTGCAATGCGGATCCAAAACTCCCCTCCCCTTTGGCAACTACAAATCTGTTTTCTACATCTGTGAGTCTGTTTTTATTTCATAGATATGTTCATTTGTGTCATATTTTAGATTCCACATATAAGTGACACATGTAGTATTTGTCTTTCTGACTTACTTCACTTAGTATAATAATCTCTAGGTCCATCCATGTTGCTGCAAATGGCACTATTTCATCCTTTTTAATGGCCAGGTAATAGTCCATTGAATATATATACCACACACATCTTCTGAAACCAATCATCTCTTGATGGGCATGTGGGTTGCTTCCATGGCTATTGTAAGCAGTGCTGCTTTGAACATAGGGGTGCATGTATCTTTTCAAATTACAGTTTTGTCTGGGTATATATGCCCAGAAGTGGGACTGCTGGATTATATGGCAACAGATATATTGTTCATTTAGCTTTAGAAAAGCAGAGAGATGACCACCCGAAACAAACAGATTTTGCTCCAGTGAAAGATTTCTTTCAGTGCCCATTAGGCTGAATAGATTCTCACCCATGACCAGCATGAGTGCATCCATAACAGGAACTCTGTCTAATTCAAAGGGGCAAGTTTCACAAGGGTGGACTGCAATGGTGGAGCAGGGCAAGCTTCAAGTTCCCTCCCTACCTTTAAAGTCCACATGAAGAATTTCTTTTCATTTGTCCTTGGAGTTAGAAAACTGGGAATACAGAACTTACTGGAATAATTATCCTTATGAATTCACAATCACAACCAGGCAAACTCATGTAGTGTTTAATCCTTCCAGAAATAAGTCAGGAACAGAAACCATAAGGCCATGAGCAGTTGGAAGAGGGGCTTACCTTATATTTTCAACACAAACCTCAATTTTTTGGTAATACTCATTGGTAGTTCATAACCAGCAAGAAGACATATTAATTTTAAAAAGAATAATAAACCCAGTAACTATTTGACCATAGTAACTTGTATGTACAGCATGGTAAGACATTTACAAATGTCATCTTGAATCCCTACAGCAAACCTGCAAGATAAATATTATCATTTTTTCAGAGGGGCTAAGTTAAGTTTTAGATAGGGTTAGCCATGTCTATCAAGGGTGTATATAGAGTAAGTCATAGTGGTCCTGGGTCAATTCTCAATTCTTTCTCCCTAGAATGCCCTTCTACCATTTCTCTGCTTGGTAAACTCTGCTAATTATCTTTCAAGATCTGATTCAAATGCACCACCATTTATTCATTCATTTTAAACATCTACTATGCATCAAACTCAATGCCAAGCACTGGGATATAGGATAAAAATACACAGATCTTATCCACAAAGAAATCAGAGAGAGAAACAGAAAAAAAACACTACTTAGAATACAGAGAGAAAAGTGACAACAGAGATACTGTGAGGGCATAAAGGAAGGTCACCTACATCAGACCAGGACAGAGGCAGGAGGCAGCTAAACCCTGAGCAAAACTGCTAAGGGAGGGTGAGAGGCCAGGGATCAGCATAAAAAAAGGTGTGGACTTGCCCTCAAAGGACTCCAAGTGGCTGGCATGGCTCCAAGGGAAAGCAATGTGTCCACCTCTGTGCCAGGGCATCCCAGGGGTCTCTACAGAGGGACCCTCAGAGTGGACTGGCCAGTCTCCTTGGAAAATGGCTTTCTGCCAGTGAGCCCTCCAGATACTATACATTTTCTTCATGTGTTTTGACAGGGGGAAAAAAATAGCCTAGTAGACTGGTAGTCACAGGTCTTGTCTTGCCCTGACAAGAAGCTGGATTTTAGTCTGAGACTGATGGGAACGATTGGATGCTTCAGGAAGCCTTCCCTGACACCCTGACGTGTTACTCAGCCCTTCAGTTGTTTGTTTACCAGCCTGTGGTCTCCTAAAGGGCAGGGACAACCAGTTCGTAACCTTTGCATTCTCAGGGCCTTGCCCAGGCTCTGGTACGCCTACACCCTCACACAGTGAATGAGTTGATGAGTGGATGTAGGAGTAAGGGCACCAGACTGTTCTGCAGGCTGCACCAGGTGCCGCAGAGTAAGCCCCAAATATCATCAGGAACTGCACCAGGGCACTTCCTGTCAAACCTCTCAGGTGAATTATCCAGATAGCGGCCATGCTGGGCAGCACCCATCAAGGGACCTCTACGAGTTCTCAGCATTGCTACCTAGACTCCATGCTAGAGTCATTCCCGTGTGCGGCTGTGTGTTCCTGGCCTACTGCCTACTTCTGCTCTGAGGAATAAAAACTCAACGTCCCCCACACCCCTTTCTTCCATCCAGGCAAAGACAATCGATGTCCCAACCCTAATGACCTGGAAAAACAGGGTGTTTTCAAAGATCCAAACATATCCAAAGATCCAAACATATCCTGTCTGTGTCCTCAAGTCCCGCCTGCTGTGGTTTTTACACTGAGTTCTACTCCAGGGTGATGTCTCAGGCCACCTGGAAGGGGGAGGAGCCAGGGACCGTCCCCTCCAGCTTCCACAACGCAGCTCTGCTCTCCCCCGGCTTGTCCTTTGTTCATGGGCATTCCACTCCATCCGAAGGGCTCTACAACAAGGGAAAGTGGGAGAAGTGCTGCTCAAGAAAGACTTAGACAGGCTTGAGTCAAATGCTTGCTTTACCACTTACAGCCGTGTGACCTTGAGAAAGCAAGCTCACCTCTCCAAACCTGTTTCCTCAACCGTGTAACAGTGCCGGCAATCCCAACACCTCACAGCAATAAGAACTACCCTGCGACCTGAAACTGCCACCTATTGCTGGAAAACGCTGCGTGCTTCTCCATGGAAAGGGCCTGAAATGAGAAAGTGCCTGGAGGGGCACTAGCATTCAGGAAAGAAGCCCTTCTGGGGATGACTTAACCAGTCAACATGTTCCTCTGCCAATGTTCCTCTGTATTTTTATAACAGAAGGTGGGTGATATAAATGAAGGTTTGGTGTTCCTTTGGCAGGAGTAGAGTCCAAAAAGGGGACTGGAGAAACACCCAATAAGTGGCTCTGAGCCCCCGGGGAGAGGTAGACATGATTTACCTTGGGTTTAGCCTATTTTCTTGCCCTCCCAGGGTTTAGAGAAGGTCAAGAAGTCTGTTCAAGACCATTTACAAGTGGCGTCCCGGTACCAGCTCAGCTATAACTCTGCTTCAGCATCCCTTCCCCTGAGAGAACTGCCAGCTCCCACAGGGCTGCCAGTAATTTCCCAAGAGTCCTCAGAGCCCAACCCCAAACCCTTGGGAATGCACCCTGTGTCAATCATTAACCACCTTCAGAGGTGCAGTAATCCTTTCCACTGTTTGGTAACGCTGGATGTGGGGGAGGGGTGTTTTTTCAAAGTGAAGGAAAGGCTTAGAGTGAACAGCAACCCTTCCGAACCAAAGGTGCAGCAATTCTCCACCTGTGCTGGGCCAGGGCTATTTTTCTTATTAACCTGCGTGGACTTTAAGACTGTCAGCTCAGGGGTCCACTCTCTAAAAGGAGACAGTGTCCCTTGAATGGGCTCCTGCACTTGGTCATCAGCTGGAACCCCACGTTGCAGGAACCACACTGACCGTTTAATAATCTTGGTAAAGACAACTGAACTAGCATACGTG